TTCCAGTGAAATATATTTATGTTTGTGGTTGTAATGTGACAAAATATGGAAAAGTTCAAGGGGTATGAATACTTTTGCAAACCACTGTATATATGTATACATATGGGGTTGAGTTTTTACAAACATAGAGCATAAAGTGAGAGGGGGAATGTGATGAGAAGTGCCACAGATGTGTCTTGTTGATGTGATTGTGTAAGAAAAAATTCCTCCTTTTATTTATTCTTTTTTTTTGCATTGCCCTGACACCCCTATCTTGAGCACAGCCTCTGGTCAGAAGTATTGATTGATATGGGCCAAATATTGCTGTGTAGCAGCACCAGACGTCTATGAAGTACTTAAAAAATGGCACTGAAAGTAAAAGTGAAAATACCTTAACAAAAAATGACTGTTAAACATAAATTTAATTAGTGGGAAAAGTATTTAACCAAAAGTCATAAAACTGCTTACAAAAATCAAGAAAGCAAAAGTAAAAGTACTTTTACACACACTCTAAAAAATAAACTGTTGAATTTACTAAACCAAACTGTTTCTACTAAAACAATTAACAGTAATTATGAAGCAATTTACATGTTTTCTTTTTTAGGTTTTAACTGTTACAAAATTAAAATAAAAGTAATGATTTTATAAAATACTTGGTAAAGTTACACATCCTCATAAAAATTACTTAAGTACTGTAACAAAGTAAATGCACTTAGTTGCTATATAAACCTCTGAACTTCACTGATGTTATTTTGCTCTGCTGAGCATCAGCTGACCAAGGCTGTGGGAAAATACAGCCTGTAGCAGCAGAACTGAAGGGATAACCAAAGCCAGACCTGACCTAGTACTAAAAGAAGACAGGGCGTCACTTCACATACAGAGACAGGAAGAAACTGATGACAGGAAGCTCCGCCTCCTTTTTAGAAACTCTAGGAATCTCAAATAAACTTATAGTCTTAGTTCAAGGGGCTTTGTCATAGAAGAAGGAGCTTTTAAAGAGCGTGACATATGCATCATCCAGAGCTCTTTTAAATTAAAATCACTTCTTTACAAAGGTTAAACACAATAAATAATCCTTCCTGGTTATCCTGTGTTGAATTTTCAGGACTGGCTGTCACCTCAAAGTAAATTTGCCGTGACGTACAACATGGAGAACGACTTGATAGCAGATGTCGTGACTGTTGTGCCGAAGCCAGTCACTAAAAGTCCAGAAGAGACCGAAGTCTTCCTCAGCACCGCCGTGCCTCAGCTGATATTCCCTCCAGGTCAAATGTCCTACGTTGGGGTCCCTGTTATGCACGAGGTCCCGCTCCCTGTCACAGCGGTCTGTCCAGGAGACACTCCATACACCCAGCTGCCTTGCTCCGTCTGGGGTTTTGGCCTTTCAGACATGGAAGTGGTCATCCCCTCGGCGCCGGTCTCTGACTTCCTGGAGATGAGCCACACGGACTCTGGCTACAGCTGTGAGGACCTGGCCCAGAGTTCTGAGAGCAGCTTACCCAGCAGTCCTGTCGAGGAGGAGTCACCGCCGCAGTTCTGCAATGATTACTGCATCCTGAACAAAACAGCTGAAGGCGTGGTTCCTGTTTTACTCTCCAAAGAAAGCAATGGAAACGTTTCATTAGACCTGAAGGCAGAAGGATGAAAACCAGAAGAAACTCTGATGAGGAGTGAATATCTTCTACTGTTGGGGTTCTTGATACTTGAAAATACGGTTTGGTAACTGAATAGCAGCATGATCTCTGGTTTGAACCTTTGTTTGAGACGAACAATTGTTTCTCTGTTTCTGTTGGACCTGTGGTGAACTGATGACCTGACTCTCTCTCACTGACAGATGGCATGAAGCCGACCAGATTCACATCTGTTGATTTATTGATGCATGAAGATGGCTTCTGCTTGTGTCCTTTGTATTTTCATGCTTTGCCTTTAGTCATGACTGAGCAGCATTTAGCTCAGGTTTTAGTGAAGAAAAACTTCACTAAACACAAAAACTTTATTTCAGATGTAGTTGTTGCTAACTCGAGGTACTGTACTTTCAAAGATATGTATCTGTCGTTAATTGTGTGAATGCCTCCATGACTCCTTTCATGTTTCTCTTTATTCTTTGTTATTCCAGTTTCTTCTGTATGTTTTTTGGACCACTTCTCCTTCCACAATTTTTGTGCTACTTAAACCCTTCATTTATCAAAATGTTCAGCTCATTCATGACATTCCGGCTATGACTTTTGGTAGCTTAAACTTTATACTTTTTTAGAAATTTAAATTTTTAAGCAGTTTTTTTCCCATTGACTTTGAATGGGTACATTTTTTGGACGGCTTCTCCGTCCACATTTTTTATGCTACCTTAACCATTCATATAATAAAATGTTCAGCTCTTACAGGACATTCCGGCTATGATTTTTGGTTTAGTTAATTTTTACAGTTTTTTAGCTATTTCAATTTTTAGAATTTTGGTTATGATGATGTCATCAGTGACAACATCAGTCACATAAGTGACTGATGATATCATCAGTGACATCAACAGTTCCATCAGTGACATCATCAATTTGTTTCTTAGCTTCAGCTAAAGTTATCAGCAAGAGGCATTCACAATAGCATTTTCGCCGGAAATGCAAATTCTCTAGTCAGTGTGCATTGCCAATGAAATGCACACTATTGTGATTCGTTTCTCATCCAAGTCAACTCAACTTTGCCATGCTTCTCCTCCTGCATACTTTATCCTAGAGCTGCCATTGTAATTTATATCTGTAAAGCCCCTGTGTCAAATGATGGTTATGCCTTTTGGTGCCTGTAAAACTTGTAGTTTTTGAAATATTAATGTTTAATAAATTATAATGACAGTCAATGGAGCCTTGTATTGGTCCAATACTGTCCCCTGCTGCATCTACACAATATGGTACTGCACCACAGTTTCATAATATTTAAACTCAGCAGTTCAGTGATGACAATATTAATTTGATTGTATTTTGATGTTTTACTGTAATACTATCTTTATGTTGTCCTATTGCTGTAATATATCGCACTTAAGTGTCAATAATTACATTTGCAAGGTAAACTTTTTCTGTATACATACAATCCAATCCCAAGGATTGTCCTCTGCCACCTCTCCTATAGTCTCATGATGAGCACTGTGGGCTTTTATGCGGGAGATCAGGATTCAAATCCAGC